ATATATATTATTATATATATATATATATATATATATATATATAATTTATATATATATATATATATATATAATTTTTTATAGTGTGTCGCATTAGACGGTACGTTTTATCAAAAAGCTGGCATAATATCTGGTGGCAGCTTGGATCTTGCAAAGAAAGCGAAAAGATGGGATGAAAAGCAGATGTCTCAATTAAAAGCACAAAAAGTATTTAATTATTATCTGTTATTTATTTTTATATGTTATATATTAGAAAAAATATGTTTTATATACTTTAATTTATACAGGAAAAGCTAACAGAAGAACTGAGAGAATCTTTGAAAAAATCTCGCAAAGAATCCGAATTAAACACAGTTGAATCTCAAATACGTGGTTTGGAGACTCGTCTAAAATACAACAAAAGCGATTTGTCTGCCACAGTGAGTATTGTATTATTTATGTAGTAGATTATTAAGATAATTATTCAGAATACATGACTTAAATATTTGTTGTAGCAAAAACAAATTGCAGATCTTGAAGTGGAGTTAGATGGTTTGCAAAATGAATTAAATATGTTTGGTGTAAGTTTTGACATATATTTTATAAATGTACACATATTATAAATATACACACAATTTTTTCGAAGAAAATATTTTTTAATACTTTTTATATATTAATAGCCTGCAATAGCTGCTATTGAAAAGACCATGGCTGAAAGGGATCAAGAAATACAAAATATTAAAGAAAAAATGAACAATGTTGAGGACGACGTGTTTGCCAGTTTCTGTGAACAAATAGGAGTCTCCAATATTCGTCAATATGAAGAAAGAGAATTAAGGTATGAAGACTTTATTATAAAATAAGTATTTTATTATCTTATAAATTTAGATGCTAAAGTTGAATATGCTGTTATTTCAGATCACAACAAGAAAGGGCAAAAGAAAAGAATGGAATTCGACAATCAATGTAATCGCATTTATAATCAACTAGATTTTGAGAAACAACGCGATACAGAAAGTATGTTATGAAAAAATATATACGATTTTATGTCAAATTTTATTGTATGAAAAAGTGTATATATTATATTATTAAAAGTTTTGCTTTTCATTAATACTATATTATAACATAGGTAATGTTTTACGATGGGAACGAGCGGTTCAAGATGCAGAGGATAAACTTGAATCTGCAAAACAAACCGAATCTAATCAAAAGGCAGAGATCGACCATGACGAGCAACAAATGGAGCAGTTGAAATCATCTCGCAATGCTAAAAAAATGGAAGTTGATCAGAAAGAAGACGAAATCGGTAAAGCCAGGCGTGAAGTGGGAGCTATTGCAAAAGATATTCAGTCAGCTCAAAAACAATTTAACACGATTGAAACAAAAATCGAACAGAAAAAAGCCGAGCGACATGCTATCTTGATGCAATGCAAGGTGTGTACCGTTGATGATCATATATTTGAATCATTGATATGAGATTATATTATTCTCTGTTATTTTCAAAATGATAGTTACAATTATATAAATTGAAGCATTTAGAAATTGAAGATGGAATGCGTTGATTATAAATTGATGTGCATATATGGAACTTCGTGTTATCTATTATTTGTTACACTGATTTTTGAGTTAACGAATATTTAATAATATCTAGATGGAAGACATCGCGATACCTATGTTGCACGGAAATATGGAAGATATAGCAGGTGAGACAAGTACGACAAACGGTAGTGAAACCAATAATGATTCATTATTGGTCGCTATGAGCACGCAACAACAATACGAACGCGAAAGGAGGATTACCATAGATTATGCACTTTTGCCCGAAAATTTAAAGGATGTAGAGGAAGAGGACATTAAAAAGACTACTGACAAATTAACGAAAACCATAAACGATTTGCAAAATACGATACAGCGCATACAAGCTCCAAATATGAAGGTTTGTAACAAATTATATTAGAAATCAAAGGTGTCGATAAATGTAGAAAACAATAAGAACATACATTTTCACTTCTTTAGGCAATTCAAAAATTATATTTAGCGAAAGAGAAATTACAAGAAACTAATGAAGAATTTGAACAGTCTCGTAAAAAAGCGAAGAAAGCGAAGACACAATTTGAGAAGGTGAAAAAAGAAAGACACGACAGATTCATGGCATGTTTCGAACATGTGGCAAATGAGATTGATCCTATTTATAAGGTTTGTGAATAATGAATTTGCACAAAATCATCTGCGCAATTGTTTATAGATAAGTTTAATTAATGTAATTAATGTAACTTTATTTATATATTATGTTCAGAGTCTAGCGAAGAATCAATCTGCTCAAGCATTCCTTGGACCAGAAAATCCTGAAGAACCCTACTTGGATGGTATTAATTATAATTGTGTGGCTCCAGGCAAACGGTTTCAGCCAATGTCCAATCTATCCGGTGGAGAAAAAACTGTCGCTGCTCTAGCTCTATTATTTGCAATACACAGGTTAATAGTTTGAACACAAAGCTAAATTGATTATACAATTTGACTACGATGAATTAACATTCACTTTATGTTTGTCTATATTCAGTTTTCAACCTGCGCCATTTTTTGTCTTGGATGAGATCGATGCGGCTCTTGATAATACTAACATAGGAAAAGTGGCTAGTTACATTCGTGATAAAACGAGTTCGCTGCAGACGATCGTTATATCATTGAAAGAGGAATTTTATTCACATGCAGACGCACTCATTGGAATTTGCCCGGACGTAAGTAAATTATTTGAATATAAGTCAAGTATCTTTATTAACATTATAATTTGTTTATGTATATTTATGTAAATATTATAGGTAGGCGAGTGTTTGGAAAGCAAAGTACTAACGCTCGACTTAACTACGTGTCCCACGCACATTTCATAGATGTTTATTATATAAAAGAAATCATTATTCTTTTTCTTATAGATTTGATATAAATGATTTTTAATAACATCTTCGAAGAATATATAATTATCACGAAATATTGTATATGTATTATTATATTATATACTTTCCAGATTTATTGTATTCTTATTGTTATTTTGAACTCACTGCAAAATCTTACTTTTTAAATTAGATCGTATGTATCTATTATAAGTCAGGATAAAAGTGAGAATAAGTGTGTGAGTATAAAACAAATTGTGTGAGTAATGTAAATAACTTTTAAAACTGAACTTTAATAAAAATTTGCGAAAATTCAAAAACAAATTATTTATTGCAATAAAATACACATTTTTAAACAATGTAATGCAATGTGTCTTAATATTATTACTCGAATGAATTGATTATTTTATTGTTATTATATATTTTATGATTAATATTATGAATTATTTAAAAATAATTCGTAATATTTTATTGATTGAATGATATAATTTATAAATAAATATGGTTATTTAATGAAGTTTAATTAATTTCCTGTGACTTATTTTTGAAAAGCATCATAGTTTATCTGACAATGGCAGATGATATTTAAAATTTTATTTGAGAAATTCTAAGACTTCTTTTTTAATTAAACTTACATCATTCATTCTTTTTTCTCTAACATAGAAAAAGGAAAAAAATGAATGATGTAAGAAGTTCAGCTAAAAAGAAGCGATCAGTCTCTGTATCAGTCTTACCATTTCAGATTAACTTAATCGATCGATTATTCCATTGGAATTGACCAATTCTAATTCGCATTGCGAAATTGACAAATGTCGCTTGACAAATGTGATTGGTCAATTGGACACTCATTTGCTGTCTTATAATAAAATTTCGAAGTCCGTAAGTTGGTAATCCTGCTTTTCATAATCGATCCGAATATTCTCGATTCTCAGTAGCCGTTTGCTCACCGTGCTTTTCATAATCGATCGATCGGTAAACGCTTTCTTTTAACAATGTCGATTTCCTTAAATACTATTACGATTTCCAACTTTAAGACATTCAAAGGAGAAACAGTAATCGGTCCTATTCAGCCATTTACGGCAATAATCGGTCCAAATGGATCTGGTGAGATTCTTATATCTACTCTCTATAACCCAGAGAAATGAACCATTAAATCGATATCGATGTCGATTCGATCTTTATTTTTCGCTGGAAATGTTCAATTTGATTCTTGAAATAAAATTATTTTCTGAAATGTTTAGAATATTATTAAGATAAGATAAATAAATTAAGAATTTCAATTTTTTTAGTTTTTTATTTATAGTAATAGAATATTTTATTTGAGTCAGAGTGTGAGAGAGAGATAGAAAAAGTGTCGGAAAAAAGGCACGAGATGAAAAAAGACAGCTGATTTGAATCGAGTCAAATTAACAAATTGAAAATGTTATATGATTTTTCTTTGTTTTTTTTTGGTATTTTATATCTCAATCGAGATATGTAAAATACTTTGCGTATTTTAGGAAAATCAAATATTATGGATGCTGTAAGGTTCGTATTAGGGGAGAAATCTAGCGCTTTGCGCGTTAAACGCCTTAACGAACTCATTTATGGATATCCTGAAGAATTATCAGCATATGGGTATTAAAGATATAAGCCTCCTTTATTTCTTAATTAATTTAATGTTAATGCTCAGATGTTTATATCATATATCATATATCATATACTCTGCAGTGCTACCTATGTAAAAATCATCTTTGTGATAGACGACATTGAAGAAAAGAATTTCACAAGAACGATACATGGCGAAATTAGTCAATACAAAATGGATGACAAGGTGGAATTTTGCTCACAATATTGCTTCCAACTAATCACAACTATTAATTTCCTTATCTTATTATCTTATATATTTAATAATGATCATTTTGTCTTTTATCGTACAGATTGTTACGAGCGTAATTTATATGGCTGAATTGCAAAAAATGAATTTGGATATAAAGGCAGGGAATTTTTTAATACCTCAGGGCTACATTGAAAGTTATGCATTAAAAACTCCAAAAGAATTGACCGAGATGTTTGAAGAGATTAGTAATTCAAATGCGTATAAAGCAGATTATGATAGGTACACGAGAACTTCTATTTTAACTGATTACATTAGTTTTGCTATAAGATTTAGTAAATTGATTAGATATTTTTGATGTTGTATGACAGATTAAAATTAAAACTTTTGAAAGCGGAAGAGGAAATACATTTTGCACACCAAATGAAGAAATTAACATTGTTTACAAAGAAAAATGCCACTATGGAAAAAGAAGAAACAGAAAAATACTTACAATTAAAAAAACAATATGTATGTTATCTCTTTTCCTAATTTATGTAAAAAATTTTATTAGAAACTGCTATTTATTTCAATCTTTGCGTGTAATTCTAATAAAATAATTATCGAATATTTCAGAAGAAGAAAAAATTAAAATTTCAATCAATTCGATTGCTTCTTATTAAGAAAGAAATTGAATCTTTAGAAGATGAAGAAAGAAAAATCAAATTGCAAGTAGATGAATGTTTACACGATAAGGAAGCTGCGATACATTTACTAGAAAATACAAAATTACAGTTTAAATCATTATTTAATACTATCGAAAATATTGAACAAGATATTTTAAAAATGGAAGATATTATTCAAAAAAGCAAAATTAAATACGTTACTCTTGAGGAGAATATTTTGTACTGGCAGAAAAAACGTGACTGTGCTCGTGTATCTTTAGATAATGCAAATAAAGCGCATGATATTAGGAAAAAAATCATTCAAGAATTAAAGAATGAATTAAAACAAATAGATAACAAATTAGCGGAATTAAGAAAAGCATCACAGATGAGTACTATAGAACTCAGTAATTTTCAGGTATACTGTATAATAGCGATACATACTTATACTATTATAATTAATATTATACTTATATTTATGAAAAAATTTTTTATTTTACATTAAATTTTTATTTAATAAAAATACATTTAAGGTTAAACGATATATGGAATTGATGATTGAGACTGAATGCCGAGCGAAGGATTCTATAAAGGAAATAAACAATTTAATGCGTGATAAACAAGCGGATCATGATAAACTTGATAACAAAAATAGATGTAAACATGAATTGGAGGATAAAGTAAAGCGGATAAAATTATCGAAAGAAGATCTTGAAACGCGGCTTAAAAAACTACAAAATTTAGACGCTGAATTCAAAGCAACGTTAATGGACAAGAAAGCAAGAATACAGGAACTGGGTCAGAAAATTATTGAAACAGAGAATAAATTATTGAATTTGGAGAATGATATTGCAAAGATTTCAGAAGAACTTTCTGAAGCTGCTATAGATCATGATACTGTTTCACAAGAAGTTAAAAAAAATAATATAATTAAAATGTTGAAACAGTTCCATTCGGGCATAGTATATATTACTTTTGCTAATCATTATTCAAATTGTTAATATAATGATTATAAATATTAATTATGAATTAATTTGCACTTTATTTTTTAGTATGGTCGCATATCTGATTTGTGCAAGCCTATTCATCCGCGATATAATGTTGCAATAACTAAAGTTTTTGGTAAAAATATGGATGCCATTATCGTTGATATGCAGCAAACAGCAATTCAATGTATTCAATTTTTAAAAGAACAAAAAATAGGTGTTGAAAGATTCTTACCCCTTGATTCAATAAAAACAGTATATTTGAATGAATCTTTACGGTTAGTAAGAATTGAGAAAAAATATACTTTTAACATAACATATATTTGTTTTAATATAACACATGTTATCATTTTACAGTGCTATAAAAGATCCGATACATGTTAAATTATTATATGACGTACTTGAGATTTCGTCTGTATTTATAAAGAAAGCTGTTTTATTTATCACTCAAAATATTTTAGTTTGCGAGACTGCTGAAGATGCAGAAACAATGGCATACAAAACTGATGAAAACAAGACATACAGTGTAATAATATATAAAAATAATAAATACAAAAAAATAATATTTTAGAAATTAAAAATTACGTATGCTGCACAAGTAATGCGTACATTGTCATTATTTTGTTTATTAATTTTTAATTTTATTTATTAATTTTATTATATATTTATCATATTTAGTGTGTATCATTGGATGGATGTTTTTATCATAAAGATGGTACAATATCCGGTGGACAGACTGATTTAATTGTAAAAGCAAAACAATGGGAGAAACAACAGATATTTGCATTGAAAGAACGAAAGGTTGTATATTTTTTGCAATATTAATATAATAAATTGTTGTATAACAATTTATATAATATATACTTTATATATATTTATATATATTTATATATATTTATTTATATATACTATATTTATATATATTTTTAGGCACAATTAATACAAGAACTCCGAAATTTGCCTAAAATTTTTGTTATGCAATCTGAACTTGATGCACTTAATATAGAAATTGAAGGTCTTACTCTCAGAAATAATTACATTGAGATAGATATAAAGGATACTGTATGTAGTTAAAAGTCAAAAGTTTATATCTTATAATATTATTAAATGATATTCAAATAATAATATATAAAATCTGTATTTATAGGAGAATAAAATTGTTAGGATACATGAAGAATTAGATGCGCTTGATAGAGAGTTACTTGGATTGAATGTAAGTACGTTACATTATTTCATTTGTATATTCTTTGGGATATATATATATATATATATATATATTATATATAATAATAATTAATT